GGGCCAGGTCACTCTTTGTTGTGGGGTTGGTCTGTGCACCGTACGATGATTCGCAGCGTCCTTGGTCTCCACCTGCGAGATGCCCGCAGCAGCCCCCTCCCTCCCCGGTCATGGCTACGCCCACCCTGACATGTTTCCAGATGCTGCCAAACATCCTTGCAGGGCAGAGGGACAAAATCATCTCTGGTTGAGAATCTCTGCCATAGCTGAGAAAATGGTATCTTTTTAAAAGCTCATGTTCAAACACTTACTGAATAATTAATATCTCATCGTGTGCTGCCCATGTGGGGAACCAGCCCCCAAGTCAGGAGGCGGGCAGCAGCACGGCGGAGTCAGGGCCCTTGTCCAAACCTGTCTTCCCACATCTTGCCAGAGGTGCATTCCTGAACCTTCCGAGCCTCAGCTGCCACACTGTTCTAACAGCAACAATGACAAATGTTAACCATGACACGACGGTTTCTATCATTAGAGCTGAGATCCTTAGAGCTTGAGAGTTTCAAAGAGGCACCTCGGGGTTTGCACAAAGGAGTGGGGTGGCCGGAGCACAGCTCCCTCGACAGAACAGCAGCCCCCGGTCCCTGACCAGCTCAGTCCCTTCCCAGCTCAGGGGCAGGAAGGAAGCCGGCCGTGGGCCCGACCTGGCCTGCAGGCTGTATTTTCTTGACCATCTGAACTGGACGGTCTCTATAGCACCTGCCTCAGGAGCTGACCGGCAGGAGAAGTCGGGAAGCTTTCGGTGAATGGGACTTTACCTGGGGTTCTGGGCAAGAGTCAGTCTGAAAAAGGAGTTTCCCTGATTTAAGGAAATAAAGACGGAAATCCCAGCATGAAACGATAAATCTGTAGGCTATGCCCAACCTGAAGTGCTTCTGCTGGGGCGTGCTCGACTGCATACCACCCCGAGAACACTTTGCTGCACCAGGTGGCCTCTGGGGATGCCCACACCACACTCAGGCTGTGGCTCCTGAGGGAGGGACCATGTCGGACTTCCATGCAGCACACATCTAGCTGAGGGCTCCACACTGAACAGGTGCCAGCAAAGGGCTGGGGGAGAGAGGCAGGGCCTGCCCCGAGCCTTCTACTCCTCTCATCAGCTCCCAGGATAGTCACAACTGCAGCAATCAAGCCTACAGCAGCGGCCAAGCACTGTGGTTCCTGCCTACCTGGCACAGGGGTGCATTTACCCGGCACATGTTAAAAAAAAAAAACCAACTGCTTTTAAATCTTGAACTCACTTAAAAATTGGGAGATTCTGCACAAAGACCTGAAATTATTTCTGGCTCTCTAGGCACTGTCACCGGAAATAGTTGAAATTGCGTGAGATGGGCCCTCTTTAGAAAGGACACGAGGCCCCCCAGTTTGCTGCAATCCTCACCACTCCCTAATGTCTAACCACCTGGTCCTTTTTTTGCGTGGGTATCACCTACCTGATTTCTATATGTGTCTGAGTTTACCACTTCTTCTAGAAGATTCCCTTCTCCTTTCCGGGCAAGTTAATGCTAAAGTTACTACTTACAGGACTTAAAAAGATGTTCTCAAACATCAAGGGAGCTTAAACAAGCCTTCTGGGGATGCTGATAAAAATTTAACAGTTTGTCACTTTAAATGTTAATAATGCTTCTTTCAGAAAGACTAAATATCGATTGAAAGAATTGGTTTTACTTAATGTAAAGAAAAAAATAAGTGCGGAACAGGTTTGGACAAATGTACCCTCAAAGTCTTTAAAAACAGTCACTACTAATGTTAAAATGATGGTGATTTCATTTAAAATGTAAACACCATGGAAGAGGCAGACAGGGGAAAGGACGGGATGAATGGCGGTGAAGTGAGACCCTGGGGGTCACGGACTGATGTGGGGTTTGTGGGTTCTACCCTCAAGTTACTCACATCTTTCATTAACCAATGGACACACACGTACGTCTGCTTAAACCAGGGGCTGGCAAATGACAACTCACCGATCAAATCAGACCCGCTGCCTGTTTCTGTAAGCAGAGTTTTGCTAACACTCAGTCACATCCGCCCATGTGTGCAGCCTCTGCCTGTTCTCACGCTACCTGGCAGAGATGAGAAGTTTCAACGAAGCCCTGTGGCCCGCAGAGATGAAAACGTGACTCTGGCTGCTTGCAGAGCAAGTTTGCTGATCTCTGGCTTAACCAGCCACCACCACCATCGCCACTCTCAAACTGGAACTGCCTGAAATTCTACAGGAAGACCCCTTTTTGCTCTTTGGAAGAAGAGGACTTTCCCACTGAGCTGACGGTGGTAAGGGAGACGCTCTGCCTTACCAGTGTTGGGGATGGACTGGAGCTCCTGGAGGTCGTTTTTAATGCCAGCCCATTGGGGACCATAATCCCCACATGCTCTTTAATGTCCAGGGATGACCGCAGAAGACCCACAAGGGGCCTCCTTGTAGTGACCACTGGGACTGTGCGGCCCTTGGGCTGCAGAAGGCTCCTCTGCCCTTGTCACGAACAACAAGAGTGACTCCATTTATCTGCATAAGGTCTACAGTTATCCCCACTTTACAGACGAGGAAGCTGAGCAGAGGCCGGTCTGAGAACCCGGCATGAATAAGGGGCAGAGCCTCCTGGGGGGATCTGACTCCAGAAGCTACTCTGCCAAGACGGCAGCCACTCCGATGCCCGCAGGGTTGAAGCTGGAAACCCACACGCCCTACACGTGGAGGTGGGAAGCCCCAAAGACCCCCCTTTCCAAGGACTCTGGAACTTGACTGCAATTGCAATGCCTTGTTTCCACGTACCTGGACCACACCCCAGGTCCCCACTCCTCACCATCTCTCAAGCTGCAACCACTCCCAGCCCAAGCTCTCAGCAGCCATACTTTCCAGGGGCGTGCGCAAAGAGATGTTTAATAGGAGCAGGCTGGGAATGCTGCTTTGCAGGAGCCCTGGTCCAGGGCTGAACCGCTCAGGCTGGAAAACCAACTCCAAGTCCACCAGTTGTTTCTGGAGAGCCCACACTGGTCCAAGCCGCCACAGCCATCACCCTCTAACTCGGCCCCCTGTGTGCACGCTTGCTTCCCCAAAATGTCCACACAGAGGCCCAAATGACCTTTTGAAAAAGTGAATTAGATGAGTAACTCCCCTGCTGAGATGCACCACCGGTTTTCCACATCAGTCAGAACCAAATCCTTGGCATGGCTGGTGAGCCCCTCCCTGATCTGCGCTCTGCCTTTCTTTGCACTCACCCTGTATCCCTCATCTCTGTGGTCCAGGCACACTGGTCTTCTGATTTCTCCTTGACCGATCCAAACTAGTCCCCACTCGAGCATCTCTGGACCTGCTGCTCCTGAAGCCTAGAATGCTCTCTCACTGCAGAGCTAGCTCATACTCACCGCCTGGCTCCCCACTCAAAGGCCATTCCTTGACCTCTTGAAGCTACAATGTCCCCATCCCTGACTGTAGCACCTGACGTTACGCATTTGTTTACTGGAATGTTCTCAAGCTTCCCCATTAGAACGTAAACTCCAGAAGAGCAGAAGTCTGACTTAATCTGTGGTCTATTCCCAATGCCTAGTCCAGTGCCTGGAACACTGGGTACTCCATAAATATTCTGTTAATATCTTCAAATGCAAGAAATCCAACTTTTTCACAGCAATTCTTAGAGGGAATGTCACTGCTGATGCAGGAATAGCCTCAAACAGCCTCACAGGTGGCTCGGTATTTCCTTCACTCGAGTCCACAGAAGGCTACTCTGCACCATCCCCTAAAACCAGGAATAAGTGAGCAACGCCCGCCCAGAGGAAACCCACACTTCAGAAAAACGAGTCCATACCAGCGCGAAGGAGAAACGTAATTCAAAACATGAAAATTTATTCTAAGTTGTATCTTAACATACGAGGTCTCAGCTTTAGATGAATTTTAATGTTTACAAGTGCAAAAGCAAATAAATATTTACCAGTTGCTTTTTTTTTTTGCACTCTTATAACTCCACAACAGCTTCGATGCAAAAAAAAAAAAAATTGTTGCTAAACATCTTGTAGTCTGGCAAAAGAAAGCATCTCTTATTAAGAAAACCCCCCACAACAATGACAACCCCGCATGCTCAGGGCTCCCTCACAGAGACCATCAGGGTGGTTCATTAAGATCTGAGTGCGCGATGGAGCCACAGAATTGCCAGCGGTTAGGGTGACGGGGGTCACAGCCAGTGGAGGCCAGACCAGCCATGCCCTGTTCTGACTGTCTATAAACTGTGTAATTCACAGAGCAAATGGGGCTCTGAGATCGAGAGCCCTGTTTCCTGGGCCAGGATCACGGGCTAACGCCAGCTCTCCCCACGCGGGAGTCTCCGTCTTTTCAGTTTCAATGTAAATGTCACCTCCCCAGAGTGGCCTTTCTGAGTTAAGAGAGCTCCCTGCCCTCTTCCTGATTATTTTCTTTGACAGCACCCTGTTTATTTCCTCATTTATTACCGTTCCTCAGTCTCCAAGTTGAGCTAGCCAGTTTTCTGGCGGCCAGCACACTTGCCTGCTTGCGTCCCAACATTCCTGCCTGACTTCCCTGCGTGCGTCTAGCTGGCTGCCGTCATCACTCTCTGTCTTCTCCTCCACGCCGTGAGCTTCAAGAGGCAGGGGCCGTGCTCACCTGGGTGAGCACCCAGCCCAGGCCTGGCACCAAACAGGCCGTCCAAAATCACAGGTGCTGAATAAGTGAATAAGGAACGAAATCTTAACAATAACCTTCTTAAGATCGATTCATTTACTTCCATGGTCGACACGCTTGGAGTTACTGCGAGGCAAGTCGATTTAACCAGGAAACAAATATCAAGGCAAAACTTAGTCCAGCAACAGTAAGAGAGTAGGTTATTCTTACTAGAATACAATGGAGACAGACAGACACACGCGCTTTTCTACCAGGGACACACACGATTCCAGGAATGTTAAGCACTTTCTGGATTTTCACCCTCTAAAAGCTAAATATTTTTCCAAGGGTAAGACTGTTCACAGCAGCATGGAACCTTGAGTGAGGTGCGGCCACTTACCTGGATGGACCGTGATAAATCTGCTGTCCTCGGAGAACCGGTCCCCTCGGGACACAGGCTTCTTGGATGGGGTTCCGGGCCTCCTGGGGTCGCTCTCTGCATCACGCTCCTCTGTGACTGTGGGGGGCACTTGGGTGGGGGTGACCGAGTCGGGGTCCAGGGCCTCCTCGGGCCGGGCGGTGGGGACGGTGTTGGGGTCCCACGGGCGCCCAGCTCTAGTCTGATGCCCACCCTCCTGGACGGCGCTGCCGGGGGACGCGGGGGCGGGGGTGGGCCCCGTGCGGCTCCGCTCCCCGGCGGCGTGGGTCACCCCGCCCCTCTCCTTCTTCTCGGAGTCCTTCTCGCCCTCCTCCTCGTGCTCCCGCTCGCCGTCCTCGCTCTCATTCTTCTCATCCTTCTCCCCCTCCTCGGCACCCTCGCCGTCCTTGGTCGGGGCTGAATCGCCGTCGGGGCCCGGGGCTGCCAAGGCCTCGGTCGTGGCCAGGACGGGCCGGACGGCCTGTTTGCTGGCCGAGGCGGCGGTGGGCAGGCGCGTGGGCCACACGGTGCTGGGGAAGGAGGAGATGCCACCGCCGCTGAAGCCCAGGCCGGCGAGGAGCGTGCTGGTGACCACCGAGGCCACCGTGGCCTGGCTGCCGCTGGATGATGGGCCCATCCCAGTCGCCATGGAAACAAATGAGAAGGGGATGCCGGAGGACGTCCAGGTGGAAGACCCCGAGCTGATGGGGGCCATGTCGGCCGAAGAGGCGGGAGACGCTGTGGGCTTGAAAGGGTCACCGGGGGAGGTTGGAGGAAGAAAGAGAAAGGGACAGTAGAGAAGTGTCAGTCACTAGGAGTGGGGAAGAGGCCCTGGTTATTACCCTCCAAAGCTCTTACTCGTCTTTCACTTTACTTGCGAGGTTTCCCAAAGTAAGGTGCCAAAGCCGACACTAGGGGGTCCGTGGAAGACCATCTCTGCTCTCAATGGTTTGACAATTAATTAAAAATTGTAAGCAGGGTATCAAACCCAACTTTTCACTGACACTGTTCAGGAGGAGGCCGAGTAGCGCAAAAAAAAAAAAAAAAAAAGTAAGGAGCATTCATGTTGTCTGAAAGACAAATGTCAAACAAGCAATAAACTGGCAACATCGGATGGTCACCTGTCAGCGGAGTGACAATGGAAGAGGCGGGGAGCCCTGGGTTTTTTATACATCGCTCGCGCTTACGGAGAACACACAGCTCTGAAGTCTAGAAAAGCCGTCTGGGATCTGGTTCTGCCTCTCAAAGGGAGTAAGTGGATGGACAGAGGGACGCTGGCCAGCCCACATCTACAGTGGCCAGGTCAGAAGCGGAAGCCACAATCTCCACTGCAAGCTTTGGAGCTGGTTTACAGCCGGCATCTCCGTGTCGGGCACGACACAGAGCCGTACCTTTCAGACTCCTTGGACTTATCCATGGCAACTTGATGCTCACACAGCTGACAACAACTCGAGTTCCCCTGAACAAGCACCAACTACGCGCCGGGGCTTCCCATGCTACCCTGGAGACACACAGAGTCCTCACCCCGTTTTACAGGCGAGGAAAATGAGGTGCAGCGAGGTGAAGGGGTCGAGGCGGGGCTGCCTGTGCCCGAACCTCAGCTCATTCTTCTCACCGTACCAAATCAGGGCTCACCTGGGGGGCTGTATTCGCACATGGGATCTTGGGAAAATCAGAAGTGTTGCCCTGAGTTGTCCGTTTAATTTTAGTCCTTGTAACCTGATGTGCAGAACCCAAAATTCCATCTCACCGTTTACGCAGTTCCAAACTATACAGCCAGAACAACTTAGCTTTCCTCATTTTTATCGCCAAGTTTCAGTTTGAAAACATGTAGTTTAAGGATGCTCAAGTTAGCCAATGTGGAGGTCTGAGGTTGGTTAATGAAACGCCAGATGCCATATAAGGTAAGGCTCAGCAGACAGAAGTGTCAGATGGCCTGGGCTTGAGCCCACCACCCCTCATGTGATCTCTGGGAGACGCTGGGTGCATTACCGCAATTCACTGAGCCTCTTTGTTTCCGCATCCATAAAATGGGGGTAACAGTAACACTAGTCTTGTGGGAAGCTGTAAGGCATAAATAAAATAGTAATTTGTGCCTGAAGCCCAGGAAAAGCTTAATAAATTTTAGACTTCTACTGTTACCACCAACACTCTGATGAATATGAGGATTACTAGTTGCACTAGAAAGAGGAAAACCTGGATATTATTAGGCCCCAGAAATGTGGAAATCCATGTAACCTGGGGCAAATGACAAACTCTTGATTTTAGTCATATATCTACTCCTTCGTGTCCTTACATCACATGATCCCACAAATAAATAATTTAAAACATGGAGAATTTTTTACCTTGAAAAAAATTATAACACTTATTATATATATATAACACTTGTCATAATGTTGCACACATATTATAACGCACTGAACTGTAAGGAGTGAGTAACGTAATTTTTTTGGTATTTTAACCTCTTCACATTGAGCCGTTTGACAACATCATACTGCCACCTCGTGGTGACAGTTTTAAGTGCATGCAAATTACCAACAAAGCGTGACAAGCAATCCCATTCTCTACTTACCACTCCTGTTTTGACAATTCTGGTTCCTTGGAATATACGAGTGGTATTAGCTGAGAAATAAAGAAATTACATTGTAAACAATATAACTCTGTTGTTGTTCCAACAAAACTGTACTTACCTACAAATCTGAATTATGTATAAATTTTACATGTCATAACATAAATATTCCTTCTTTAGATGTTTTTTCCATTTAAAAATCTAAAACCCTTCTTGGCTTGTAAGTCATTAAAAAACATGCAGAGGGCCAGATCTGGCCTATGGGCCATAGTTTGCTGACCCTTGTCTTAAGCTATTACAACTTAAAAAAAATTTAACTGTCTTCTATTTTAATGAGGTAAAATTTACATACAGTAAAGTGCACAGATCTTAAGTGTATAGTCCAATTAATTTTCACCTCTGTAAACACCTCTGTAACTGCCTCCCGCATATTAAGATCTAGACCCTCTCCAGCACCGCAGGTTTGCATGTACGCCCACCCATCCAGTCAATACTCCTTTCCCTAAGAAAACCACCATTCTGACCTCTGTCAGTGTTTTGTCTATTTTTGAACTTTGTATAAATGTAATCATATTATTCCACTGATCCTCTCTACTGTCTTTTTGGTTATAATTTCTTATATTAGCCTTTCAGGGACTATAATATGCACCCTAAACTTATTACAGTTTAACTTTAATGAGTACTTTTGCCTCTCCCTAAAAATGTAAGTATTGTACAACAATTTAATTATTTGCATGACTCATTTTTGTATATTTATATCTACTTAAGTATTAAAACCCCATAAGAGATATTGCCATGGTTGCTTTAAATGGTCAGATTCTTCTATATTAATCACAGATTACTCTTCCTGGTGTTTGTCCCTTCTGGTAGTTCTGTATACCCATGGGTTATTATTAAACAATATGAAACTATGCAAAATGTTTAACTGTGGAAAGTTACACCTAACACAAAACTTACCATCTTCAAGACTTTTAAGGGTACGGGTTTGACAGTGTTCAGTGTATTCACATTGTTGTGTTGCAGACTGCCAGAACTTTTCCATCTTGCCAAAGGCAACTCTGTACCCATTAAACAACCCCCAGTTTTACCCTCTCCCCCCAGTTCCGGGCAACCATCCTTCACCTTGTTTCCTTAAGTTTCACTGCTCTGGATAGTGCATCTAAGTGGAATCATCTCTATTTACCGGTCATTCTGTAACTGGCTTATTTCACTTAGCATTAAGTCTTCAAGGTTCATCCATGCTGGCCCATGCATCAGGGTTTCTTTTTTAAGGCCGAGTAATACTCTACTTTCTATATGTACCATGTTTCATTTACCTACTCACTGTGGATGGACTGTGCCCACCTTTTCTCTGTTAAACAGCATAACTGAAGAAAATACATCAAACTGCTTCTTTGTGCTTACCTCAAAAAATAGTGCTATATAAATGAAAAGTTTGCTTCATTTATGGCACTGAAAAATTAGCAAACAACGTTAAATCCCCAAATAAATACTTGTACCTGCTAGAGTTTTTATCTAAACCAGAAGCAGCAAGTGCCTGGCACAATTTTGTTGGTTTGCCCTGCAAGCTTTAAAAAAAAAAAATTTGCTGCCAATGCTATAAACAGCAGCTTTCACCAAAAAATCCCAATTTCCTGCTCATCCTAAAAATATCACAGTATTTGGCAAAACTGAGATCACCTTCCTGCGGGGCCACATTTGGCCAGGGCTGAGTATCTGTCATCCCTTTTTGATGGGCGCGTATCTCCAATATCCACTGACGGTCCTCTCCCGATTTGCACATGTTCCCTGCTGGGCCCCGGGGCACCTGCCTTTGCAACCCCCAACTGAACCATATATCATTTTGCACAGCTGGAAAGCGGAACGTGTGAAGAGACAAATGCGGAGAACAGACTGATCGAGATGTCAATACAACCAGGTCAAATAAGGCAGCCAGGAAGCAAGCGGCTCTTCCTGGCACTAAATATAATCCACCGCCACCAGTGAGTTGCTCCAGGATCGATACCGTACTGCCTCAGACAGGTGCACGCACCTCCTTTTGTTAAGACAGGAAGAAAGCTTCCTAGGAGACGTGCTTTCCCTGCCCTTTACAAAGGCCTTAATTGAAGGCCAGCAAACTCGGTAGCCACTCCATCACCAAGCCCGCTTTTCATCGATCTGGAACAGTTTCCACCGGGGTCAGTTCCAGCCGCAGTGACTAGGAAGTTTCTATAGGACCTTTCAGATCAGGAGCCCCCAGGCCTGATGGAATTCAGGGACGGGGGGAAAGATGACACCTGCCTTCTCACGAAGCTCTCACTGGGGTGCAACCTTGTCCTTGCGGGAGGAACGCAGGCTCCGAATCTCAGCTGCATTCACAGGAGCATCCTGCAACTCTCTCTGATTACAATCACGTATTTTCCCACTGCCTTAAGAGTTGCGCACAGCTCCTTCGGAATATCACTGAGGTTCCTCGCTACTCAGAAAGCACAGTTGCTAGCAGACCCCGCCACTTGTCATTTGATACTTTCATAAAAGAAGTGCACAGATCACTCCAGCCCAAATTTGTTCCTTTAAAATATTTTGACAACTGTATTTGAACGTAATTGGTTTTCTTTCCTATGTATTTTACTGATTTATTTGCAACCATTCTGAGAGAGGATCTTGTTGGCTTGGCCAGGCTGCCTGATGGGTCCGTGACTCCAGGAAAAAGCTTAAGAGCCCCTGTTTCCCATAACTGTTGGGAGCTGCAAAAAGGCTTTCGAACACTTAGTAATCAATCTTTTTATCCGTTTATCAAAGACCAGGGACACAGGGTAACAGTTATGCTTTAGGGGTGGTCCGTTGCTGGGTATAAACGATCGGGCTTTGGAATAAGAAATCAGCCTCAGCTGAGTAGCCAAGTGGTTTTTTTGTTTTTTTGTAGGTTACTTGACTGCCTGCAGTATCATCTCTCCCTCCGCACAGAAACACCTGCATTACAGGCTGCCCTGAGATCAGATGATATAACTTACGGGCAAATGTCGTGTCCCTGGGAGCCACTCTACAGATACTGCCTACCAGTATTACTGTCGTATTTACCACACAGTAAGGTAAATATAATGTACTCATCCCATTACAGAGCATAAATATTGTCTTATTTACTATAATAATGTAAATGTTCCATGTGGCTTCCTCATGCTCCCAAACCAGATGGAACCTTTATCCCTGGGAAACTGAATTCTTCTGAACAAGGGGTCCTTAAAACTCCCTAAGCTTTTTCTCTTTCCCATTTAAAACGTCAGTCCTAACAGTTGATGAGTTCTGTACCCTGGCCTCTACCACTCACAAACTCTGACCCAGCTCCCAGGAAGAGGCGCGCTAGCTCACCTGAAGATTTTGTTTTCGCACGACCCACTGGAAGCTCTAGGGAAGATGCTAAGGCCATTGTGGGGAGGAGTGAAGGACCTGTGTGCCCCTTTGTCAACATGCAGGACAAACCCAACGTAGAAAGCGGGTACACACAGGGCCACCTCTGAGCAAAGAAAGTCTGCAGATGAAGGAATGTCACTGTGATGAGATGTTTTAAATATTCTGGGCTTGGAATTTATAGCTGATGAAGCCTTTTGGAATTACATTACATTACAAACATTTAATTTTTCAAAGTCCGTGCACAAGCCAGCGAGCTCAGGGGCCTATTAATCAGGAAAGGCAGTTTTGCAGATTCCGGGCTCTTAGTCAGAGTACAAAGGAGCCCTAATCGTGATTTATGTGCCCAAAGTTCGGGACCCCGGCCTCAGCAAGCTCCCACTAGGGCTTCCCAGGATCTCTCCCCTGGGCCGGCACGGACCTGGCCTCAGCCTGCAGACACTCCTCAACACAGGCAGACTGGCCGTAAGTACCTTCAGGGCACAGGTGGACACGGCGAGCATGATTTATATGTGGGGGAAAAAAAACACAGCTGTGCTAATTTCAATTACTTTAAATGGAAGGATGAGATAATGTGAACCTTAGCAGAGAACATTTCACTACTGAGTGCGAAACTGCAAAGCTAGAGGGGGTCCTCGGAGGGAATCCAGGCCGGAGGACTTCTCACCCTGGGGTGCATTCTTTATCATTTTTTATATCAAAACAAATCTTCAGGGGATATTTATGGTTGGTACCAGGCTCTGCCTTAATACTCAGCAGGCATCATATCATGTCATTCTACAAGGACTCTGTGAGGCATATTGAAATAGAACATATCTCGATGACCGAGTTTCCTGGCGCCCCCTTTAAATTCTGCACCAAAGTGAATGATCCTCTTGCCCCGCCCAAGTGCTGGCCGGGATCTTTCCACTGGACTCTCCATCAGCTTCCCGAATCGTGCTAAAAACCCAAAGGTGGTGTCCTCCACATGACCTGGAGGCAGTTATGCGATCTGACACTGTGTTGGACAAATACTCGGTTCCCCGAGGTTGGAAAAGAACAATTAAAAAGATGATCCACACTTTGCTCTTCTAGCCCCCTCTGGCCTGTGAAGTACCCCTCCACCGCCACTAACGGCCAGGCCTAAGTTCCTGCGGCTTTTTAGGTGTGACTGCGAACCCCGCAGATCCCCAGGCCAGGCCTGTGTCCTTGTTCTGAGCACCTGACCGGGAGAACAGACAAAGCACGAGGGAGGAGGGGCTCGGGGCGGGCAGGCCAGGCAGGCCGGCCGCCGCCTCACCTTGGAACAGCATGGTCTGGCTGAAGTCGCTCCTCATGTCGTTCCGACACACGGCCTGGACTCGGAACAGGTAAAGGCTGTCAGGTGAGACGTGGCTGATGGTGGCCTTCTGCAAGGGAGGGAAGAACGGGCAGTGAGCTGGTGTGAAGGGCACCCCTGATGCCTAGAATGACGTGAAGTGTCACTTTTAGGTTTCTGGGCACCACGGCGAAGCCTGACAGACATGATGCGTCCCCATTGACCGAAGGCTTGCTCTGAAAGGAACGAGTGTCCAGAAGTGTCCCTGCCTGGGAATCGGTTTTCTACACAGAAACGTGTAAAAGTGAGAGAACAAAAATCAGTCTTGACTCAGGCTGACTCTGGCTTGGAAAGTGTCTTCAACCCTCTTTATGCCCAGAAGGCTGGACTTCAAGCAATTACAAATGCAAGAATGATCTACCCTAGACAGTCTCCAGAATTATCAAGCACACTGAATTTCCAGAGCCAGGCAGAGCTTAGAACAGCCACGACAAAATCTGTGTGTGTGTGTTTCTTTGCAGTTTAAAGGTCTCACTGAACCGTGACCTTGGATAGTATGGGGCACGATGCTAAAAGAGCACCTGACTACAGCTCAGACAAGAGGTCGGCCTGTATCATACCACCCACCAGCTGTGTGACCCCGAGTCAGTTGCTCAATGTCTTTTGGCTTCTGCTACCTTCGTTGTAAAACGGGGAGAGAAATACTTCCCTCCCAGGGTTCTTGTGAGTGCTGTACAACACAGGATGGACAAACCTCGTTCACAGGCAGCCCACACCACACAACGCAAAGAATGCCCCTGGTCCAACAAAGCGGGTGGCCAATAGCCCACAGCTCCAGTCCGGCCCGCTGTTTGGTTTTTGTAAATAAAGTTTTATCAACACACAGCCACACACATTCATTTGCTCGCTGTGGCAGCTGTCACCCTCTGATGGCAGAGGTGAGCAGTCATCCACTGAGGACAAAGAGCACTTAAAAATCTAAAATCTTAACTCTCTGACCCTTTCTAGAAAAAGTCAGCCAATCTCTGGTCAAACGTCACCAGCCAGGTCCAGATCCCTAGTCCTCAAAGCTTTATTCCAAGAGCCTTTAAAAATCAAAATCTGGACAATACCTAAAGAGCTGGGAGCACTTGCTTCCTGAAGAAATAAACAACAAAAGCAGTGGATTTTCAGAGACTCCCTAATGGATGAAGTGTCTCGTCATTGGATCATGAATTTGGAGCCGAACACAGACAGCAGCTTGGGGCGCTTAACCACCGAGTGGGTTTCCCCTGACGCAGCTACTGAAAACCTCTGGACAGGCATTAAAATGCACACCCGCTGGCTAACAAACGGGTTCCCGGTGAGAGCAGGAGGTGGGGGTCAAGTCATTCACTTTAGAGCCTCATTTCTTGCTTTCGGAAAAGGGACGCACGGACACCTGTCGCACAGGTTTGCAGTGAGGGTGAGAGAGAGAGAGAGATGAACGCTGGAAAATGCCGGGAAAACGCTCAGTATTACTTTTAGGTTTCGGGGCCCCAGGAATCGTAAGTTAGAGGATAGTTTTGCTGCCACTGAGCCAGCACGCTCAACTGCTTGAGGAATTGAGAAAATTAACTTTGTGTGTCCCCAAAGAAAATAACTACCCCTAGAAATTCTTATAAAAAAAGAACTTGCTGTCAAAGCATGTATTTTGCCCTCTACATCTCTTTCTCTGAAACTAATTTATGCCTCCTGCTCTAAACCTCTAACCCCATCTTCTATTCAGAGCAAAATCTTCACCCCAGCTATGCAGGGATTTACTGGAATTCACTCCAAGTCGGTATCTATTCATCTTCGCGCATTTAATTATTTTCCACTTAGAATAAGAAACCGAACCAACACCTAGTTACTTTCTGCTGATGAAGGAAGCCATCTTTACTTCAGAAAGAGACACATCCTGTATGGACTTGCAGCCGTGAGAAGAGAAAGGTTAAAACACAGCATAACCTTGGGTGCCTTTCAGTGGATTCCTCTCTGACTTCATAAAGCTCACTGTCCCCTAATGTGACCCAGATACCAATGTCTGGTGGGGAAATTGAAAATATAAATGGAAATGAAGTAAGAGAATCTCCATCTAAAGCAAAATGAAAAGTTATTATTCTGTAACTGACTGAATGGGCCCTGGGGACTGACTCTGGGTTGGGAGGAAAAAAAAGAAGTGATAAAGGTGTTCAGAATCCCACTCGGCGCTATTACATTTTTCACGTGCGCAGAAGATCGTGCGCCCCATTCTTCCAAAGCCTTCTTTTGATTAACAATGAACGCAAGGCTTTCAAACCCAAACGTGTCACTCTGAGTTTCTATGCAAAGAAGTCGAGAGCAGCGCTTGTTGGAGCCACTGCTCTTCCAGGGGAAGAAGCCAGCTTCTGCAAACAGCTGTTCTGAACAGCCTTGCTGGGTGCCGGCCACTAAATATTTAGGCACACTTCAGAGGAGAAGGTGCATCGGGCATGTGCAGCTCGATGTGAAGCCAGGTGTTGCAGCGTCTGAGAGCAGAGGACAGCGGTTAGAAGTTACCTGGTCCCGGGGTCTAGCAGGCAGGCATGGGTGAGGCAGATCGAATGGGACGAAAGGGAGTGGCGGGGACTGCAGACAGCTGCACGGTGGGGGTGACAGGAGTAGCAGCGGGAAGGGGAAGCGGAGGGTGATAATTGCAATAATAGGAACAGCGAGGACCGACATCGCCCTTGCTCCGTGCTGGGAGGATGCTGAGAATGCACGTCTGTACACCTCGCTTAAATACGGACAGTCACGCTATCAGATACAAAGGGCTTCATAGAAGCTTTCTGGGTTTTTTTAATAATGGAAGGAAAAGCAGTCCATTCTGAAGGGCCAGCTATGAAGAAGCTAACTGGCTTCTCTCGGTGGCGGAGCCGGCCAGCAGGAGGGCAGGATGCCACAGTTCCTGCTGTAGCCCAGACCCGCCCTCAGCAGACAGCGCGGGGCTGGGACAACACAGACAGAACACCCCGGAGAGGCACCCGGGGCCCCTCTCACAGCTGCAGGGGGAGCAGACACCCCGAGCGGAACAGGGAGGTCTCACCAAGTCCTTGTCACTGTCCTTGGTGAACGTCTTCTCCTTCTCGTCCTCATTCTTGGTCCAGCTGTAGGAGATCATGTAGTTCATGATGGGCGGGTGGTAGATGGTCTCGGGCTGACTCCAGGACACCTGCAGCGCCGTCTGGTTCAGGGGCTGCACCTTCATGTGGATGGGCGGAGAGCTGCAAACTGAAGACACGCGGCCAAGCTCAGGGCCTGCCGGCACCACACGCCATGCGACCATCTGCCCCCTCCCACCCGCGTCCTGCAAGACTGCACCCTCGGCAAGTCGACACGGTGGACGGGAAACACCCAGACTCCTGTCACCGAGATCCACCTGCTGCTCACAATTTGTCACATCTGTTCTCACCACCCCCAACTGCTTTCTACACACACTCATACACATGCTCAACTGTCTTCCTGTGAAGTCACGGAAAGCAAGTTGCAGACATCCTGAACTTCACTCCTTAATACTCCAGTCTGTGCTCCTGATACGCACTTTCTCCTGTGTAACGGCACGGCTCTGAGTGTCTGTGCAACCTCCAAATTCGTATGTTGAAATCTAACACCAAATGGGATGGTATTTGGAGGTGGGGGCCTTTGGGAGGCAATTAGATCACGAGGGTGGAGCCCTCGTGAATGGAATTAGTGTCCTTCTAAGAGACCCCAGAGAGAGATACAGTGAGAAGCCAGTTGTCTGTGACCTGGGAGGTGGGTCCTCACCAGACAGTGAATCTACCAGCACCTTGATCCTGGACGTCCCAGCCTCCAGAACAGGGAGAAATAAACTTCTGTTGCTTGTAAGCCACCCAGTCTACAGTATTTTTTTTTTAATAGTAGCCCAAGCTGATTAAGATCGTCCCCATAAAACTGCTTTCATGCCTAAGAAAATAAACACTAACGTGAAAATGCTGTCTGATATATCGTCCCTATTCAAATTTCCCCAGATGTCTCCAAAAGATTGTTTATAGTCCTTTCTCTCGACATCACACATTGTATTCGGTTGTTAAAAGGCTTTAACCTCTTTCAATCCAACACAGTCATCTGGCCTTTTACTCCACAATGGTTTTTTTTTAGAAGCCAGGTCATTTGACTTGTGGAACGTCCCAACTAACTGAAACTATAGATGAAATTTTATTGATCAGAGTGTAAACAAGTACAATTTAAAATGAGACATTAAATGATTTTAAAGGCAAAGGCATCAAAAACCAGGAGGACGTTCTCTGGACCAGCAGGACGCTGTGTAACTGTCCTGCTGTGGCGGCGTAAGGAAAAGCCAGGCTAATTCTGCTTACACCTTGTGGCTGGCAGGTGTGAAGGGAGGTGGTGGTTCCACATCTATCTACGGACAAACCCATTAAAGAGCTGAGAATATTAAGTCAGCCTTGAACAGGGACATTTTGGACCTCCAAACGTGTTCTTTGCCAGAGGCCATGGTCCCTGCCTCCGTAGGGCTTCCAGTCTAAAGCAGAATTTCTCAACCTCAGCACCACTGGCCTCTTGGGCCAGACGATTCTTTGCTCTTGTACTCGTGTACTGGCATCTTTCTGTTCCTGCAACAAGCCACATTCCCTTCATTTCCTGGGCCCCTGAATACACAGTTCCCTCTGCCTGACGCACTGGGTTGTCCCAGGCACTGCAGGATGGTGAGCAGCATGCTGGCCTCTGGCCACCAGATGCCCAAAGCAACCCCTCCCCCAAGTTAAAACCACCACAAATGTCCCTGGAGGGCCAATCACCCTGGATGAGAACCACTGGTCCTAAGAGGGAGACGGGGTTCATCAAAGGACGGCAGGTGTGGAGCTGCTATTACAGGCCAGGATGGGGAGGGGGTCGGGGGAGCAGGGCTATATCTTCCGAGCAGATTATAGAAGATTTGACTCACGCTATGGGGTCCAGGGAAGATGCCTTTGAAGAAGGTACATCCAACTGAGAACTGAGTGGAGATGCACTCCGTGGGAGTCAGGAGAAGTGGGGGAGAGCAGGCTAAGGAACCAGGGGAGGGAGAAGGCCTGAGGCGTGGAAAGGAAGGCAGTGGGGCTGGATCAGGGCACCAGGAACAAGATGGGGGCCAGTGGAGTGGGAGGCCTCGCAGGCCCAGATGAAAATTCTGGTCTTTACCCAACAGCACTCAGAAGCCACGGGATCTGAACCGGAGAATGACACAAGCAGGTCTGCACTTTACAAAGCTCCCTGAAGCGTCAGCTGAGCATAGAAGAGCCCTGAGGGGCTAAGAGCAGAGGAGGGAGGCCCGCGGGGCGATGCTGCAGGACCTGGGAGAGACCAGGGGGAGAGCTGGTTCTAGAGCTAACAGAGTTAAGAGGCCCGGTGACGTGCTGAGCAAGGAGGGGGCGCGAGGGCAAGGGAGGCGGTGAGGATGCCGCTGGGGTCAGGAGAGCAGGCGGGGAGCAGCACTGTAAAGGATGGGCCAGGAGGGGGCCAGGGTTTGGTTCAGGCTTCTCCCGGGAGCCCAACCACATGCGAAGCAGCCCACCACGAACCAGACTCCCCTCTTTGCTACTCAAGAGCCCCGAGCCCAGGGCAGCCCTGGGGAGGACGGCTTTCCTGCTGGAAGCCGTGGATCCAGCTTTAAGGAGTGAGCTGCTGGAGGAAAGCGGAGATTGGTTATGACAGGGAGGCATCCTTTTGCTCTTCAACTGCCAAACCCCGCTTCAGTTGGACAGATTTGCTTTGTGCGACTGAGATAGGAAGGAAGGGATAAATTAATGAGGCATTCCCACTGCCCTGCGGAACCCCGGGAGGCATTTCGCTGCCTGCTGCGCAAATGCCACCAGAGCAGGGACATCAAACAAAGAATGTGATGGCAGGCTCCCAGCAAGACAGGGGGGGTGAAACGGCAGAGTGTGGACACTAGGTGGCGCCAACAGACCGTTTTAAAACACTGACTTCTGAGTGTTTTACAGCTTCTTAACCCAGGGAGGAGAGAGGGGAGGTGGAAATCAGGAAAGGATCTTTCCAAACACGAATAACGGACCAAGGAGGTTTATATATTGGGGAGTGTCTGTTTCTCCCAGTGATGACCAGGTCAGATTTCCTGACGTCTACATCTTTTCTCACCTCCTACCATGTTCCTACTGATCTCCAGGATTCTGAAGCCATCACTTCCCGGCTCCAATTAGCCGTGAGCTGTACAGGGATGCATGTATCTCTAACAGTTACATCATAACCACATAAATAATTCCATCACCCACATGTGGATGCAACCATTCTTATTTATTCTTTGAAATTAAAATAGCTGGGTTTTTCTTGGCTGATTAAGATGATTCATGTTAATGTGTTTCAGAAGAAACCCAAGTCGTCCAAAAAAGTAAAGAGAAGAAAGTTAATTTAAAAAATCATCCAAAAATCCCAGTATCCAGAGATAACCACTGTTAACTTTCTGCGGATCCAACATCCAGATCTCTCTTCATAGATGTGGGAAAAACACATACACACAATTTGATATAAATGGGATATAATGCATCACGGCCCTGTGAGTGAATCTGTTTTACTCAATACGTCGGGGAAATATTTCCTTGTCAATAAAGAGACCTCAGTATCACTGTTTTGAATGAAAGGACAGAACCCCACTGTCTCAATGGGCTAGAAAATATTGGGTTAAGTTCACAAAGGAAGCAGGCCTGGACCACCAGCCAGGGGAATTCAGTAACCGTGGCACCTCCAAAGGCCCACACTTGTCCCAGGCTCCATGTGGGAGCACTGGGCCCCTGTCTGTCCCAGCCTAAGGGAAGAGCAGCAGGTGGACAAGAAATCTCCCTTCGGGGTTCCACCTCCCTGAGCAAGGCTGGGGTTTCTGGGCCAGGTTTGGTTGAGGCACCTGCAGGTTACTAGGGGTGGGCACACTTTTCCTGCAAAGGACCAGACGGTCAACATGTCTGGCTCTGCAGGCCACAGACAGGGTCTCCGTCACAACTACCCAGCTCTGCCTTTGAAGCCCGAAAACAGCCGAGGTCGCCTGTGGCTGAATGGGTGTGACTGTGCACCTGTGAGACTGGTCACGGAGCCTGCATTCCCATTTCACACCATCTCCACGTGTCATGACATCTTTTGTTTTTTTTTTTCCCAACTGTTAAACATATCAAAACCACACTCAGCTCCTGGCTGTAGAGAGGGTGCTGGTGGGAGAGTTTGGCCTATGGGTCAGTGGCTGGCTGATTCTATAGACATAGAGAAGAAAGGGAAGCCAAACTTTTCTTTGAAACACGTTTACCAGCTGCACTTGTGTTCTTAGCGCCGAATTCTGCCCCTCAGCCCAGCCTGAGAGCCCCACTCGTCCACAGAGCCAGGATTCTCCCTGCTCTAGTGTCCCTCGGCCTTATGCTTACTGACCTCGTGGACCACCTGTAAGGAGTGATCACACGGCCCACTGGAAGGTAAGGCAAGCTCCACGGGGCTGGCTGGCAGCACTTCTGTGTTCTTTGCTGCATATCCTTGGCGCTAACTCAGAGCTCTCTACAAACACGGAATGAAGGAACGGCAGGCTGGGAAGACGGAACCAACTCCCTAGCCTTGCCCCTGGCCACAGGTTCCGCATGTCGGGACCCCCTTCCATGTCTCCAACCTCATCGCTCCCCACTGACCCCTCCCCAGCCAGGCCCCACCCCAGTCTCCTGGAAGCCCAGGCTTCCCCCCAGCAGGTCTCCCCCGTGCCCCCGGGCCCCTCTGCTCCCTCCTCAAAGTGCTCCTCAGGCCGCTGGGGGAGGTAAGGCGGCCAGACATCCTCCAAAGAGCTCGTGCCGTGTGCTGCCGAGTTCTGCTGGCAAACAAAACCTCCTTCAAATTCCAAGTATGAAACAGACGAAAGCGGCACTGTGGTGTGTAACACAGAAGGGACAGCTGGGAAGAGCTGGCATATAGGAAAGTGTGGGCTTTGAAGCCAGACTCACACAGACCCTTGTGTTCTCATCTGTAAAATGGGTGGCTACTACCTGGTAACACCCTCCTCACAGGCTTGGGGTAAAGGTCACGGGGAACACGGCAGTTCAACCAGACTCTGTGGGCCTGAGGCCCAGGGGCACACACAGTGTTTGAAGAATTGGTATGTTTCACATACAAGGCTGGCTTTTTAAACTGGGCCTGCGTCCACCCATGGCAATGGTTTCCCGGAGCAGCGGGTGCAGTCTCCCCCTCAGATGGGACAGGGGTGGGGGATGCTCACGTTTGCCACA